GATAAGGAGAAAAAACAAGAATTGTTAGTTAAAAAATAAATGATAAAAATATTATTAAATGTCTATAGATTGGGTTTGTTTGGATTGAAGATTATTTGAACATTTTTTAGAAATAACACTATAATACATTTGTGATTTGATATTTGTGATATAAAAAGGTGGTTGGAAAAAATAAAAAGATGATTGAGAATCGTGTTTAGGACGCAACAACAAAATTTTTTTAAGAAAAATTTAGCAGTCCAACAAAATTTGAGTAGCATCTAATCATGCTATATTAAAAAATGACCCTAGAAACTTTGAAACCTAAATCAACCATGTTTCTCTATTTCTAAGTATTACCAACAAAAATATATATACTCTCATACAAAGAGAATATCTAGCTATTAAAAGAAAAGTGCAACCATATGAGTAACCATAAAGAGAAATTGACAATATGCGAATATTTTAAAACTTTTAATAATAATTTCACATATTCATTTTTCAATTTCCATTATTACGTGAAATTAGCAAGATATTCTCTCAATCTAAAATAAGTATAATAATAAGATGAAATTTAATTAGGACCATATCTATAAATGTATCATTTCTACAAATATTGATTTTTTGGACATTATTTATCTTGGGTGTTATAAAATATTAGAGCTGACTAATGATTTTGATTACAAACGGGATAAAGTGCAAAATAAATTAGGGAATAAACTGCATTTAACTATTAAGGGTATAAATGTCCTTTTGACATTACCCTTACATACTTTTAGAATCAAGTAAGTGTTTAGGGGATAAAGTGAGAAAAAAAATAATGTTAGAAAGGGAAGTGTAAAAATAAATATATCTTAGGGGGAGTTTTTGTAATTAACCTTTGAAACAGCTGGGGAAATGGCCAATTTCCTAATTAATCCGACTGTGAAAGTTCATTTAAGATTAAATTTTGAAGTTATCTTTTTTGAAGGAATAGTTGAATTGATTTACAAAGAATCAGGGCGTTTTGCAATTAGCCTTTCAGGATCAAGAATTGACAGCACGGTTCGCTAGTGGTTTTCGATTTAGTTTGCTCAGATGATCCCTTTATTATGTAGTAGTATTTATTTTGATAAAAAGTAAGTTTCATTAAGAAATTATTAGACATTGTTCAGCACGATTTGATCTACATTACTAATCCTAATGACAAGTTAAAATATGCACTAGAAATTACAGATCTACAATTTAATAGATACGATATTTTCAAATAAAAATTATGAACAAATCTTAAAAATACAAGAAATTTCAAAGAACTCCCTTCTGTTCATGTTGCAATCGCCAAATCAATTAATTAATGGTTCTAAACTCCAATAATGATAATTAGATCCGTCGAAGAAGATTCAAAATTCAAAAAAATTTCAAATGTGATGACTACATTTGAAATAAATTCAGATTTAACAACAAAAAGAAAAAAGAAAAACACAAAAATCTGCATAAGAATTGCTAGGAGAATAGAACATTCTCACTAGAAATCCTTAGGAAAAATAGAAAACTCTCACTAGAAAAACTTAGGAGAGACTTTATTAGAAAAAATAAAACAAAATGTATTTGGTTGGTATTAACTACTAAATCTCACATGTTTATTCAGTGGAAAACTTTAGAGTAAAATGCACGGCGCCCCTTGTAATATTGTCAAAAGACACAGAACCCCTCTCATTCTCTAAAAATCATCACATAACCACCATTTAATTGAAAAATGCTACGGTCTCTTTTGGGTACGATACCCATTATTTTAATCCATTTATAGTTTTCCACATTATTTGGTAATTTAATCTTTCAAAATAATCTAAGGGCTGATAAATCTTATTCTATATGCGATGGTAAATTTAATATCATTGATACAGTATCCTAAAAGAACGGTAGACTTCCCCTCTGGTTTTAATTAAACTGGAAAGTTCATTTTTGACCTGTCATATCATCGCCAAGATTATATTTTATTTGATGCTTTGTATGGTCTTTCCTTTTTTATTTAAAAAATAATTTCTTCTTTTTCATTTTTTCAGAAAAAACCATTTTATTCCGTTTATTATTCCTTTTTTTTCGTTTTTTTCCTTTTTCTTTCTTCAACCATTTTCTTTCTTCCCCATACCACCATCCTCCTCCCCCCCACCCCCCTCTGCTGTGCCCCGCCCCACCAAACTTCAGCCACCCTATCCGTCCACTACCACTATCATTCTCGCTAGTCCCACTTCCCCCCTCCCCTCTACCCAGTGGCTGAGCCAGAAAAATTTTTCAGTGAGGGTAAAAGCAACTCTAAAATTTTTTTACCTATTTTTTTCTAGTTTTTTATGAAAAATATATTCACTAACAAGTACAAATGATGCATATATTTCATGAAAAACATAAAAAGACAAACTCAAAATTATTAATGTAATAATAATTTTATTTAAAAAAGCAAACTAAACCATTTAAAATTGCTCATGACGACTTTTCATATTTTGATAATGATTTACAACCTATTCATTTTGAATTTCATGAAATATATTTTTCTCAATATAAGTAACTAAACAATTATTCGTCCAAGTGTCTTCCATTCTATTTCGTAACCGATTCTTCACTATATTCATAATTGAAAAAACCCTTTCTATGGTAGCTGTAATAATAGGTAAAATCAAAGGCAACTTTAAGAGTATATAAACTAATAGATACACAAAACTCCGGGGGCACACTTAAAATTATATCAAATTTTTATAGATATTATAGAAATTTAAGGGGCCGCGAGGGCCCTTGCCCCAGTGTGAATCCACCCCTACCTCCACCTCTTGCCCCTCTGTCCCCCTCTCCCTTCTCCTCTTCTTGCCTCTTCTCCCATCCTCCCGGTCCTTCGCACAAATCTGCATCGTATATGTAATTATGTAAAGCTTTAATATTCTTGTCATTCAAGTACAAATAACCTCAACATCAACTTCGAAGCAAAAAAGAGATCGAACACTGAAACAAATCAGTCACGCATAAATAAATAGGCAAAAGCTGAAAACCGATTACTAATACCTTCCTCAGCCAATTTTCGAGGCGGGAATCTGATTTATAATTACGAAAATCACAAGGTCATCACTTATTAGTTATTCGACTAAATCTCCAATTATCTGTATTTGATAAACCTTGAATCGCACCGTGCACAACATTAAACCAATTACCTTATTAGCATAATTTACATGCATTTTAATGAGGCAAAATACCAGATAAACATGCAAAAGGAAAAAAAACCAGTAATATCACCCAAATTGTAACTAAAAAGAATAAGTTTAATTTTAGCCTAATAATCATGGCATTCAATACGTTAATAAGTAATTTGATTATATGTTCAATAATCATGGGCTACCTAAACATTCAATTGCAGCATAACAATGTCCAAGCAATTAGGTGATTGGAATTCAGTAGTTGACAAAATGAGGAAAAGGGCCAATGTCATCAAAATAAAGCTCCGTATAACTTAGTTCCTTAGTATTTGAGAAAAGATAAAAGCAGCTTAATGTGAAAATGTCGTACAAGTAAAGCTCTACCCACACTCAGTCTCTCTGATACTTGGATCATATTAAGCTTTTATTATTAGTTAAAAACAAAATAAATAGCGAAGTAATTAATTAGGAGCCCAGAATTCAGATATAAGCGGTGTGTTTAAGCAGAAACTGTGCAATTAGGAAAAAAAAAATAAGTCACAAAGCTTCACAAAGGGTGCATTTAAAGCAGAGGGAAGGAACAAGCGAAAATAAATAAATAAATAAACAGGTGATCTTTGGGTTATAATATCATCGGACTGATTGGCAGCGATAAAAAGGGGGCCAAGATTAGCTGAGAGCTGTCCTATCACGGTACATGCAACTCCTCCCTTTGTATATTAACAATATGCAAATATCAAGGAAGAATAGATCAAGTATTATATTACACAAGAAAAGGTTTTCTCACCGTCACAGAAAACTGAAAATTGTCACTGTACATCTTTAATACCATGAACAAGTCGTGATTCCCTCGTCACTATTGATCTTGGCCACTTTAACTATCAACATAAATAAAAATATGATACAACTTGTTATTAGTTAATTATTCATAATGCAAAACAATAAATACACATTTTAAAGCCAAACAAGAAGTATATGAGAATTAGTGGCATGAATATACAAAATATGGTTAAGAAAAAGAAGTTCAATTAGTTTTTTCACTTTTTCATGACTAGAATTCTTATTATAGGTTTAACACAATTTTGGTCTAATTTACAGCTTATTTCATCTTAAAATCCTCAATACAACTATTTAAATTTTATAGAATTATAATAATTTAAATACCAAACTTTGAGGACCAAAATTACAAAGTCAAAATGTTGACTAAGGGTAATTTGATTTTGGTCATTAGTCATAATTGTTCAATTTTCATCGGTTATTCTAAGCTTGCTTAACATCAGAAATGTTGAGGCCAAATTTATTTTGGTCAATATATCACGGACCAATCTAGCATATAGACCAAACATTGAAAACTAAAACTATGTTTCTCCCTTTATTTTGGTTTTGGTGACAAGAACAAGTCGAAATTTAGTGATGAATACATGATTGGCTTTAAATTCACCATATAAATGTTAAGTTGGATAGAAAAAAAAAAAAAAAAAAACAAAGGACAATGAGGAAATCTATTCACGCGGAATTCACAAGTAATCATAATTAAGAACAGTATTTATCAACTTGTAACAATAACGTACAATAACACATAATGCTTTATCATTCAGTTGTGACAACCAAATGATTTAAAGTTTACAAGTATAGTAGAAGACATCTTGCTCAGAAGCAGAAAATTCGGCCCGCTATTCACCTCTGAGCTTCTTAGGCCTTTATTTATAAGTCATAACATAATCTGTCTGATCCGAAGTTTGTATTTAGAATGTATGACTAAATTCAAACGAGGGTCTAACTGTGGAAGTGGTGTGTATAGGTTCAGGGATAAGCGATGAGTAAATTCTTTTTGATTGGTAATGAAGGTGGGCTGTGGTAGAAATGACGGTGAACTCATACTCGAGAAGAAGAATTGTATTTGTTAATCCCCTCCCCATGGATGGCGTGGTGGTCTTTGAGGTGGACGTAGCCTCCTTCTTGGTGGTGGAGGTGGAGGTGGACGCTTTGTGGGTGGTGGAGGAGGTGGAGGTGGGCTCTTCTTTGGTGGTGGAGGTGGAGGAGGGCTCTTTTTGGGTGGAGGTGGGAGTGGAGGCGATTTTATATGAGGAGGAGGACGCGATGGGCTCTTTTTCGGTGGAGGTGGTGGGGGAGCTGATTTCTTAGGCGGGGGAGGTGGGGTGGGCTCCTCTTGGGTGGTGGAGGTGGAGGAGGACTCTTTTTTGGTGGAGGTGGCGGTGGAGGTGATTTTTTAGGCGGAGGAGGTGGAAGTGGTTCTTTTCTAGGTGATGGTGGTGGAGGCGGACTCTTTTTTGGCGGAGGTGGAGGTGGAGGGGGAGGTGATTTCCTAGGTGCAGGAGGTGGGGGTGGGCTCTTTTTGGGTGGTGGAGGTGGAGGTGGCCTCTATTTTGGCGGTGAAGGAGGTGGACGTTTTCTCTTTGGTGGTGGATGTGGAGCAGGAGAGGGTGGTGGTGGTGAAGGCGGCGGACGAGATGGTGGTGGGGGTGATCTTCCGTTGGGTAATGGCGGGAAATGTGGAGGTCTGATTATTGGTGGGAAAGGTGGTTTGATAGGCGGAAAATGCAGCGATGGCAAATGCAGTGGTGGAAAGGACGAAAGCTGCGCAGAGCCTCCTGCAAAAATTTCTAGATTTTCTAACAACTTGAGAATATAAAACTTTTCTTAACAAAATTCATTCTCTTGGCTCAAATTCAACCATTAAAAAAACCGAGAATCAAAGGTAAGTGAGCTCACATAAGGATTATAAAGACAAGTAAAACCGAGAATATAAAACTTTTCTTAACAAAATTCATTCTCTTGGCTCAAATTCAACCATTAAAAAAACCGAGAATCAAAGGTAAGTGAGCTCACATAAGGATTATAAAGACTAGTAAAATTTCGGGGTGTCACACTCTCTCCCCCTTAAAAGAATTTGGTCCTCGAAATTCTAACCTTTGCTCGCACAAAACTTGATGCTATAGAATTTTCCTCCAACTCTCAAGTGACTTTCTCTTACTTATAGTACTACTACAAACTTACCTAGAGAGAAAATCTTACCACGTAAAGGCTACGCTAATATGCTAAGGAAGTTTAACAAAGATATCAAAATGTGCAAGTTAATATAAACTTAAGAATCTGATGAAAAGAGAAAGCGATAACTACAAAACATGGTCACTACTTCAACTAGATCTTGAAATCAAACACAGTACACTGGCAATATGCTATCTTCTCTAATCGAACTGCCTTCCTTCATTATTAACCACAAATAGAGAATTCTTGTTCAAATCCTTTTTCTCAAAATCTCCATACCTAATTCCAAAACTCTCAATCTCGACACAATAATAATCAAAATCAAGTTCCTATGCGGTATCGTAGAAGGGTAGAAAATAGAAAATAAATAGTCAAGCAAGAGTTAAAACGAGTTCAAAAGAAATACATGTGTAACCATAATCAAATCGTAACAAAATCATAGAAACACGGAACAAAGATACACAGGTACGGGAGAAATGAAACAAGCTACAATACTAGCGCCTTAACGTTCACGACGTCCACAAACTAGCTATCATCCATAAAAACCCTAGCCAGACATGCACGAACCAGTCTATGACGACACTCATTGCTCCACTCTCCTTGATCAGTTCAATCTCAAGTCCAATACTAGAATCTTTCATGCCTTGACGTTTACCATCCAAATTTATCTCAAGTTCAATCGAGATATAGACCCTTATTCTAGTGTTCTCCACTTTTGGTACTCGGGTACAAGAATCCGAAACTAGGAAAATTCACATCTCAGGCCGTACGCTTCCAAGTGCAAATCATCCAAGTTAAGATTCCTACCTGACATACATATCTAGATTTTTCAAGTATCATGATAAAGGTTTTACGCCTATAACCTTCATGATTCACAACTTACGCTCATGAAGAGCACTAAGTTCTTAATACTTATTCATATAATTGGACCCATATCACCACTTGGCCCAATCTCACCCAACGCAGAGACCATGTGAAATAGCTCTGATACCATCTGTGACGACCCCGCTTCCCCGCAAGGCGTACCCCGGGGTTTAGCGGACTGCCTGCCCAATTCTTGTCAGGACTCACCCACTCACTTCAAATAAAAAAGGTTACAACCTCAAGAGTAAAGAAAATAACAGTTCCCAAACTTGGAACGTACATGTACATTCATTTATGTTCCAAACATTCGTACAATCCAAATTATAACAAAAGATATGAATTCCAGATACATTCAACCCTAACCGAGTACTAGCGCGAGTACAATCGTAAAAATTTCAAAAAAATTAGACTATACTAGCCTGTACCAGTCTCACGCCCTTGGTCGTACCCCCTGTAAGGAAAATAAATTTAACAGAATAGGGTGAGCTAAAGCTCAGTGAGGTTCCAAATAGCAAGTTGACCATTATTTAAAAGTGTACGTATCAAAGAAGTAAAGTAACGAGTATAACAAGTCCATAAAAGTGAGCAATAACACTTCAAGTAGCAAATCTCAAAATGAGCGAGTCTAAAATTCTTTTTTCTAAAAGAAACAATAATACTACAAATAACAATCAAAGTATAAGGATACAAATGGCTCTCATGAGCCAAATTCCCATTGTTTCACCAGAGCTTGATCAAGTAGTAGTTGACACTCCGTCAACTTTCAAGTAAAGTAACCAATCCAATAGTGCTTTGCTTAACACCAACCTGTCCACCATTCCCCCTTACTGGGTCCGAACACCAGCTTAACACTAGTGCTTTTCAAAATCATGTTCAGGTCCAACTCCTTGGTTGGAGTCCAAATCTGCGATAAAATATTATTTAAGAATGTAAAACTCTCTAGAGTTTGAAACATAGGAGTTTCACTTCAAGAAAATCAAATAAATGAAACCTGTTTAAGTAGTAGGCATATGGCTTATCAAACTCTCGAAAATTTATGCTCGCTCTTTAAGTTTCAATAAAAAAGTGATTTATACTTTGGAAGTCACACTTGGTATGACAAATCGAGAAAATCGTATTTTGAAGGGTCGCAACTTTCACTTTTTAAAGGGTACGAGTTTTCGCCAAATTCAGCTTATATACCTCTTACTCATGAAACTTGAATACCATAACACGCAAAGTTCGCTTTAACCTCGAGTCGTCGCTCAAGTCTCAAGTTTGCTTGCCTAACCCTTGAGTGAAAATTTGGGTGGCATGCCCTTTGTATTTATTTATTTTCCATCCATTTATGACTTCATTATTTTCCTCAACTTAGTCCAAATTCACACATAAGCAATCTTAACACAATAGCCCTTCAACTAGGTCAATGTCATCCAAATACAAGGCAATTCTAGCAATGCAACCATCAAAATCAAAGCTGGAAACCAGTTTTAAAGACGAATGGCTAAGTAGCAGGTTTGACGTCTTTTGGCGTTTTGGTCACAACTAAAGCTACGCTTATCGGATTGGGGCAAATTTCATGGAGATTTGAAGCTAAGACAGAGACCTACATTTTCTATGAAGACATCAACACCCAGTTCGTGCATTTTCAAGGTCAAACTGTAAATTCTCAGAGAAAATAGAAAGCTGCCCATAAAATAGGGCATTTGGATAGTTAGGGGTATTTTAGTCATTTGACAAGCTACAGAGCTCCAATTGAGCTGAAATTTTGTAGGTAGATATTTAACTCCATTCCCTACAACTTTCATGTTTTGATAAAGAACTGATTCGGCATTTATCATGGATGAATATGTAGGTCACTTTGGTTCTAAAACAGGGTAGAATTACTACTAAGTGCTGGAATTCAACTTTTACTATAAAAATTCATAGCCAAGCACTTCACCACATTCATATCCTAACTCAATACCATCAATTACTAGGTAAAAAATCATAATCAAAGCTGAAAATGCAAACCCTAGTTAAACATTCCATTATAACTTGAATTGAATGTCTAAAAATTTGCAAGTAATGAAGATCTTTTGAATACATATAAAAACATTGAAGAGTAAACGTGGCCATCCACAAGTTGAAGGGAGAAAAATGATCTTTTAATCTTAATATTGTTATGATTTTATCAATATTGTTATTGGTTTTGGTTAAGCACAAGTGTCAATACCTCTGACGTGTCAATGTCCAACATTGCTCTGATAACTGACTATTCATAAAATTAATGAATTTTTAGGTTGATATTCTGAGTGCTTTAGAATAAAAATGGAGAAAATTTAGAATAATCCATTGAGATATCTAAAAAAATTTAGCAAAATCTGTTGAGATTTGTTGCTTTCTCACATTATCCTTGCTGTAACACTTCAACTACTATTCAAAAATATTTAGGAACACAAAAAATGTTTTTTCTATAGCTTTTTTAATTACAATTTTTTATTCTTCTATAATTTCCAAAAATGTTTTCAAAATTGTGCCACCAGTATTTGAATTTTTCCAAAGTCTCATTTTGTCAACTGCATTATTCGTTTCTTTTTGTATGCAAAATGGCAAATTTGCAGCTACAAATGTAGTGTACGGCTCATGCGCTATGAGCTCCATCTTTTTTAATTGGGAGTTTAGTGAGTCAATTAATATGAAAAATAATACAATGGACAAGATAGTATCTTGCAAAAGTTTACTGACTGGAGACTTACTTTCCCCTTTATTACATTAACTTTGGTGGTCTTATGCACAAAGAACATCCAAGATTTTTTTTTTGTTTAATCGCATCTAATGCTAGAATAAGCAAAATCCAGCACCTAATGTGGTGTAGCCGGGCAAGCAATCAAAAAGAAAGGGAGTTTAAAGAAGACAAATCAGAGAAAAAATAATGGATGGTAAGTCAAAATTATCTTTCTTCTATTTTTTTTTTCCACAAACAAAAGGACCTGGCCCCACTTCAGGCCCCAACCCTTATTCGGGTTGTTGGATTACCCCAAAATTATCTTTCTTCTATTGAACTATACTTTTGTCCAATTAAGAGAAAAGAGTTAAGTTACCAAGAATTATTCCATGACCCATTCAAAATAGTGCATCAAAATTAATTGTTTGGCATCTGGATGTTCGGCTTGAAATGGAAACAGACTATATTCTACATGCAATGTTAGGCAAGATACCAAAAATAGGTTGGGCTATATACTTAAAGGTACATAAGTATGAGTTATATATAAAAAAAAAAAAAAGATCAACTATTAACGCTCTGTTTGATAACCCAATTCAACACTTAAATTTAATGGATTCAAATCTTAACACATCCAGACCGTTTGATAACCAAAAATTGAACATCTGAATTAATTAAATGACACTGAATTTCCTACGCAAAACTTGCTCCCAAAATTAAGTAATAAGTTATTCACTTATCACTGAATATGATATGTACTTAAATGTATTAGTTTTAATATTTAACAATCCAATAATTTAATGAATTCAGACTTTACATTTCAGATTTCAAACTTCAGTTTTTAAATTTTAATTTTATCAAAAGCATCCTAAATCTTTGACACAAAAGAAGAAACAAGAAAAAACCTTGTGCTGGGAACTTTAAATATTGTCTAAAGTTGTATGTAGATTTGATAAGCTCTTAAAGTCTCAAGAAGTGATGCACGTTAGACTTTCATAGCCTTGAGAATTTTGTTTTGTGGTTTATACACCAAAAAAAAAAAAGGTCTCACGGCTATGAAAGTCTAGCGTCCAACACTTCTCTGATCATTGAAAGTTTGTAGTTACTTCGGAAAAGTGTAGATGTTAAAATGCTTATGGACAAAATGTCATTAAATGCTATTTTGCAAGTTTACTCGGTTGTCTTGATTTAAAAGTGATATAACTCTTCTTTTTTGCAATTTTGTTTCATGATTTCAACGAACAATTATGCATAAGTTGATTTTCAAAAATATCAACATCTACAATAGGAATTCACAATTAGTAAGGCCTGAAACGACTGGAGATTGCATTGTGTGAAAATGCTAACATTTTGCATAACCAAATTTACAAGGAAAAAGGAAAAAAAAAAGAAGACAAATTGAGAATGGAGCACGTTAAATTGCTAACGTGAGCTCATAGTATTTCAGCTTTTGCTAACGTGAGCTTTGTAGATTTCACCATTGTTGAGCAGGTTGGAGAAATTTTCCCAGCTCTCTGTATATGTTGATATGAGGAGACAGAGATGTGTTCCCTTTGCCATTTTTCATTCTATATAATTGGTGTAAAGTTTGCTTTTACTGCATTCAAGTCCTTCTTTCCTGTGTTTGTTTGAGATCTCTTGAACCTCCCCTGAGGTAACCTTTGATGATACAGACTGATTAAAAAAAAAAAAAAAAACAGAGAGAAAGCTAAAAGCTCTAACAATGGGCAAGAAAAGCACCAAGACTAAGAAGCCAAAGAATTGGATCCTCAGAGAAAAGCCATAACAATGGCAATCGCAAAACATGGTGAAAAATTTATTCTATTGTTTATCATGGAATTATGTGTCACATATAGGACACCCTTGAAAACTATCTAGCCCAAAAAATGAAAAAAAAAATGCCGAGATCAAAATTGATGTTGATTTTTGGTGACCAGAACAAGTTCAAATTGAATTATGAATACATAATTGGTTTTGCAATTTTATAGTGGTTCGACACATTGTTGCTTTTAAGTGGTCAACGTGACAGTTCTACTTGTTATGCATATTTGCTTTTAAAAGGTCAACGTGACAATTTTAGTTTTTTTTTATGAATGAATTTGCTTCACGATGGTATAAAAACAGTTACCATAGGGTAACAGGACTACAGGTTTCGTATAACCTTTTAAAATGCTGAAAGGTCTTGTACAATTATCAGATTGGTTATTTGTGATTTTTAATAGAGTTAGTTATTGCACAAGAAAAATTTTCCATTGGTGGTTATTTTAGGGACACCATTGGGTCCTCGCAATGCCAATGAATTTGGATGTTCGCAAGTATAGTCTTAAACAAGAAAGAGAATAAATTCCAGATTTGATATGATTTTTGGTTAGCAGCTAGCATCAAGATTCAAGAATAAATCAATTCCAAAAACCAAATTGCGATACTGCCCGAACTTGACATCTGGGAAGGAAATCGTATTCAAATTGATCGATATTCTTCTGCAAAAATGCTTAAAAAACTTCCATTGCTAGCATAATCATGTGCGAAGATATTCAATTTCCTGCCCAAGTCCTTTCTCTTGTCCAAAATGGCCAACAAATAATTCACTGATATTCACCGAAACATTGGCATTAGTAATACAACTAGTTTATTTCCGTGCATTTGCATGGACACTTTTTTTATGTTCTATAATATTCATCTTTTCGAACAAAAATTGTTATAAAAGAACTTAAAATGCTATTTTATAAAATTTAATATACTAGTTGTATGACAAACATTAAAATTAAACATATTAAGTATGGTTAATTTATAATAATTTAATATTAGTTTCAATCAAATATTATTTCATAATTCAATTATTTTGCTCTAATTAACCGTGGCAAGTCAACATATGAGTGAAGGAGATATATTAGGAAATAAATATTATTAAATATTTGATTCTTTCATGACTGAAAAGAATTTCAAAAACAAATCAATAGACGATGAATTTATCATTTGCTTAAATTATTAAAAACTAAGAAAAGCAATTTGGGAGAACTTTTACAACCCCATGTTCATATGGATATGACTTTGCCCTAAATCGAATTTGAATGGAAGGAGTATAAAATTAATAGAATAATTTAGGAAAGAATGGCTATTTATAAAATTTAAATGTATCCTTTTTAAAATTTGAATAGACTTGTATGAATAACATGCTAAAATTGTTTAATATAGATTCATTAAAAAGTGAAAATTGTCAAAACTTTAGAATTATAAATAAACAATCAAGTATAATAATAGTGATAGAGTAAAAATAATTGAAGAAAATTAAGAAAAGAAATTTACAAAAAAGATATAATCAATGTAAAAGTATATAAAGTAGTAAATTAATATATTGAAATTTACTACAAATAAAGAAGTATAGGATCATAAAAAAATAAAATTTTGTCCATATTTTAGTAATAGTAGTAAATAATCAATATAACTGCATGTAAAATAAGGAATTAATAAATTGAAATTTACTATGAATAAGAAAGTATAGAATAAAAGTTTTAAAGACGAAGGTGTAGAGAAAAACTATCTACATGAGCATTAATGCAGCATATTTTGTCCAAATTTTAGTAATAGCATAAAAAATTAAATGAATATTAGGAATAAAGAGCACAATTGAAAATGATTAGCAAAAGAAAGATGTGAGTTGATTGAAAAAAAATAAGAAGGGTACAATTAATATAAATTTATATAAGGTAGGTCATTAATAGATTTATTGAAATTGACTATAAAAAAAAATCATGCTATAAATGAATTTAAAAAATAAGAAAATTAATTATTACCAAAAAAACAGAAAAAAAGAATAAAAAAATAAACATTAAAGACATCCACATGGCGAAAAGATAGATGGTCCATTTAGAAGAAGATTAGAGTAACCAACTCAACAATCTATCCAAAAATGAGCATTATTTTATAATATACATGCACATATATTATCAATCCATTTGGGGGACCTTGGAAGGGTGTTCATAACATTTATTAATAGAGCGTGCTATATGTCCAAAATCTATCACCCTATTAATTGGTAATCTCCAATTTGAAATTTAAGATTATTTTAAGTACCCTAGACGGGATCAAATATGTACCCGTCCTGTGAAAAGCAAAATGATTATAAAAAGGACATTCCTCCAATCCAGTTTGAGGTTGAGCTAGCCATCACGTGCTTGTTTCGATAATCATGATTAGCAATTTAGCATAAAGTGTTTAGTTGCATTTAAAAAAAAAAAACAAAGGACGATGACAAAATCTATTCATGCAGAATTCACAACTAATCATAATTAAAAATAGTATTTATTCAACTTGTAACAGTAACGTACAATAACACATAATGCTTTATCATTCAGTTGTGACAACCAAATGATTTAAAGTTTACAAGAATAGTAGACGTCTTGCTCACAAGCTGAAAATTCGGCCCACTACTCACCTCTGAGCTTCTTAGGCCTTTATTTATAAGTTATAACATAATCTGTCTGATCCGAAGTTTGTATTTAGAATGTATGACTAAATTCAAATGACGGTCTAACTCTGGAAGTGGTGTGTTTAGGTGCAGGGATAAGCGATGAGTAAATTCTTTTTGGGTGATAATGAAGGTAGGTTGTGGTAGAAATGACGGTGAACTCATATTCGAGAAGAGGAATTGTATTTGTTAATCCCCTCCCCTTGGATGGCGTGGTGGTCTTCTAGGTGGAGGTAGAGGTGGGCACCTTCTGCGTGGCGGAGGAGGTGGAGGTGATCTCTTTGGTGGTGGAGGTGGAGGGGGGCTCTTTTTCGGCGGAGGTGGTGGTGGAGGTGATTTCTTAGGTGGTGGAGGTGGAGGTGGACACTTTTTTGGTGGAGGTGGTGGTGGAGGTGATTTTTTAGGTGGGGGAGGTGGTCTGCTCTTTCTTGGTGGAGGGGGAGGGGGAGGTGATTTCTTAGGTGGGGGAGGTGGAGGTGGGCTCTTTTTATGTGGCGGAGGAGGTGGATGTTTTCTCTTTGGTGGTGGAGGTGGAGGGGAGGGTGGTGGTGGTGAAGGTGGCGGAGGAGATGGTGGCGGAGGTGATGGTGGTGGGGGTGATCTTCTGTTGGGTAATGGCGGGAAATGTGGAGGTCTGATTATTGGTGGTAATGGTTTAATGGGCGGTGGCAAACGCCGCGGTGGCGAGGGAATTATTTTAGCATTGGCATTTGCCACAAAGATGGCGAAAATTGCCAGGAGTTTCCACAGCGAAGCTATGTGGCTCGCCATGGTTGCTAAAAAGATGTATTTGCTGTCGACTGACTCACTTGTGGAGTTGATGGTTCTGTGATCGATGGTTTATATAGATGATGATTGGAAATGACACCTTGCTGGTGAATGGGGGAGGAATATGCAAGCTGCGTAGCTACAAAATATAGGCACGCATGCAAATTAATCAAGTGCTAAATCTGGCTTTGGGGTTTGGTAAGCCTACCATAGACTAGATGGTAAAACGGAATTGATCCGTACCAACTTGAATATTAATTAGTTTCGTTTTAAAAGTACGTGCCAAACTTGAATTAATTGCTCTTGTTTTAGAAGTTAGCCTTATTTGGCTTAAACACTATGCATTACAAAAATAGGAGTGAAACTTTGGAAACACATAAAATATCACAAATCTTAGATTAGGGAGTATATGTTTTATTAAAACTTTGCGAAACGTAAACAATTCATTGAATCTTTTTTAAAAAAATGTTATTGACCTCCAAAAGTTGACAATAGAAAATACCGAAACTGGAAGATTATAATGAAAAGAGAGATTTAACGCTTTTGTTATTGTAATGTTATTATACTGAAATATCGATTTTCTTTTAATGTTGGTGAACGATCTCATTTTATTTCTCATTAAATTACCCAAACATGTCCTTAAGTGCAACAAAATCTTCAAAATAAAGCCCTATTTCCATTTTCTACATTGTTTTCCAGCTTAACGTTTGTTCAAGTCTGTTCCTTTTACTACGGCCACTTCTTTTTTTTCTTGTTTTACGTTTGGTCATCGTTACTAAACGTTGTCTGTATTTACATCAAATAGAGAGTATAAATCCAAATATAAAAGTGAATATTGCCAGTAGCGTAGATTAAGTTCTTATATTAGCCACTGCTCCCCTCTATTAATTCAATTTTCACGCTAATTTCGGAATAGTTAATACACACACATACACACTATATATGAGTGCGTGTATGCAGATGTGTGTGTATATGTACACATATATGTATTTATGTATATGTATAAAGAAATCACTGAATCTTCTAGACAGGACGATGAATTCTATAAAAACTAGTGTAGGATTCTTAATCCTGTATTGATCTTTACAATGTCCCTAAAATCTAAATATTGTGCAAAGAAAATAAAGATAAAATCTTATTGCTGCCAAAAAAAATGAAATCTTATAAAAAGAAGGATGTGGAATTTCATGATTACTAAATTGGGATCGATCCTTCATATTGATCCTGTTTAACTCTAATGCTGAACCGAAAGGCGCTTATGGGATTCATTTTCTGGATTTAGGTGGGCTAAGAAGATACACAAAGTATAGAGGAGCAGAGATAATAAATGTCCAGCTTTTTATGTTGTGCATGAAGCCGGGTAATACAGGGTTATCTACCATGCTAGGCACAGGGCCTCTTTTTAGTTAGAAAACAAACATCACTAATAAGGAAAAAGGCATTCACTTTTTGCTGAGAATTAAACAAAAAAAAAAATCCCCACATTTTTTAGAGTTCTGATTTCGCGGAGTTGAATGTAGATAAGGGGTAAGTGTCAATGCCGTAAAAGTCTCAATCTCCAACACTACTCTGATCATGAATATTCATTGAAGTTATATATGATGAGACCTTGAAGAATAAAATTAGTGGTAACATAGATTAATACGTCCACTGCTTGTAGAATAAAAATGGAGAAAATTTAGAACAATCCATTGAGATTTCTTGAAGTTTAGCAACAAATAATCCATTGAGTGCCATCCGACCTCAGTCCTCCAGTGTCTAAAATTGGCATTCAAAAACTTAGAAGTCTTGATTTCGAATTTGCTTTCCCCTTTTCCATTCCACAATAATTTAGAAAAAAATTCCAAAAAATAATGTTAAAACCCTAGAAATTAGAGGTACTGAATTCCAATCCCCCGTCACCCTCTCACGTCTGGAATCCCAATCATCTCACGGTTAAAAAAGAAATCCATTGAGTTTTTTTTTTTACATTTTCTATATATTTTCTCAAACACTTCCACTCTTATTCAAAAATATTTAAGAACAAAAAAAAAATCGTTTGCGCTATTAGTTTTTTATTAACATTTCTTTATTCTTCTTTAATTTCCAAAAAAGTTTTCAAACCTGTTTGCTGCCGGTACTTGAGCTTTTTCAAAGTTTCATTTGTCTCACGTACTATACTATTTTCTTTTTGTATGTGAATGTAGCGCACAGCTCACTTGCAATTTCCATCTCTTTTAGCCGGCTTTTTTGGTGTTCAGTGAGTAAATTAACATGAAAAACAATATAACAAGACGAAAGAGTATTTTGGAAAAATTTTGTGACCTGTGACCGATTTTACCCTTTATTATATAAATTTTGGCGGTCTTATGCAAAGAGGATATGCGAGAGTAGAATAAACAGTCCCCACCACTTAATTTATAGTGTAGTTGGGCAAAAAATTGGATAGAAAGAGAGTTTGTAAGAAGACAAATAAAAGAAATGAGGAGTGGATTGGTAACTCAAATTTTTCTTTCTTCTAACTGAATTTTTTTATCTCTTTAATAAAGAAAGGCGAGTTAAGTCACCTTAAAAAAAAAAAAAAAAAAAGAGTTAAGCCACCTATAATTGTTCCATTAGGTCATAAAAAAAATGCATCAAAATCAATAATTTGGCATTTAGATGCTAAGCTTGAAATCAAAACGGACTGTCTACAGTAGTAAGCGATGTTAGGCAAGATACCGCTAATAGGTTGGGCTATGTACTAAAAATATATACGTATGTATACAAAACAGATCAAGCATTATCCACATTTTAGTAATGGTAATAAATAATCAATATAAGTGTATATAAAGTAGAAAATTAATAAATTGAAATTTACAATAAATAAGAAAGTATAGACTAATAGAAACAAATGAAAGCTTTTCCAAATTTTAGTAGTGGTAATAAATTATCAATTTAATAATAGTGATAGAGAATGCAGTTGTAGGGAATTAAAATACGAAAGATATTGAAAAAATAAATTAAGTAATAAATTATAAAAACATATATAAAATAGGTAATTGATAGATTTTTTATATTTACTATAAATAAGGGATAAAAAGGACTGTAATTTATTGTTATAAAATATAGATACAGAATAAAATCCACCTAGAAACATAAGCAAACACTTTTTTTTTTCACAAAGCAAAATGATAAAATTTTTATTTCACAAAATATAGATAATTTACGAACTTACCAAAATGGGAAGTGGATAGCAAATTAATATATATGTCTACGTGTTATATATATATATATGTATGTATATGTATTTGTGTGTGAATCTTCTAAAGATAAAGGTGCAGAGAAAAACTATCTACGTGAGCATTAATGCAGTATTTTTTGTCCAAATTTTAGTAATAGTAATAAAAAAATCAAACCAACATTAGGAATAAAGAGTGTAATTGAAAATGATTAGGAAAGGAAAGATATGAGTTGATTGACAGAAAAATAGAGAGGATAAATTTATATAAATTTATGTAAGGTGGGTCATTAATAAGAAACTGACTATAAATAAGAAATCATGCTACGAATGAATTAAAAAAAGGAAATTAATTATTAACAAAAAATAGAAAAAGAATGAAAGATCACAAACATTAATGACGTCCACATGGCGAAAAGATAGATAGTCCACTCGCAAGATTAAAGTAATCAACTTAGCAACCTATCAAAATCAAAACTGAAAACTGTTTTATAATACATATACATAAACATACATACACACATACACATACATACATACATACATACATACATATGTAGACACCAAAATTTTTATGAATCATCTTATTATTTATTTTTGTTTATCTCTACTTTCTAGTTTTTAAGAAAAATCATTTTAATCTTGTTTGATTTTTATTTGATTGTTTTTGTAAAAAAAAAATCTGGGATCCACGCACGTGGGATCTCTTTCTTCTCCTACATTTTGTACCAGAAACCAGAACAAGAGGTAGTTGGCATTTTTGGAGCGAATTTTGTTTCGATTTTTCTATCTTTCCTTTGTTTCCTAAGCATTATCAGTACAATGCCATCTCACCCATCAAGATTCATCAAGAAAATTCTGGAAGAAAGCCATCAAATGCCTCAAAAAACCTGCAGCAAAAAAAAAAGGGTTTCATCCGCACCTTTGAACATAAGGTTTTGGCAACTCTACTTCATATAAAAGGGCTAAGGAGGCATTTCTGAACGGAAGGAGAGAGGAAAAAGAGCGGTGGGGAAACAGAAAGAAAGAGAAATGGGAGACTGGGAGAGAGAGCAGAAAATTTCTTAAAAATCTTGAGCCAGGGTTGAGCATTATGCCTTTTTCTTGACCAAAATCCGATCTTGATTCTAGTCATTTAGGTGTTTTTTTTTTTTTTCATTTTGCACCATCTGCCTTAGTTGAGAGACAAATTTTGTTCAGAAAACCTTTAGAGAAAACGCCTCCAAGATTGTTGAATTCGGGCTTGAAGTCACTGCATCGTCAGCCCTTGAAGTCAATTTCTAGGAGTTTTCAACTTCACCTTCCTGCACTTGGATTCATTTTTCTTCGAGGTTCATCGTACCTACTCGTCATAGGTAGTTCATTTTACTCCTTTCCTCTTCATATAAGCATAGATCCTCACCCAATCTATCAAAATTTTACTGCATTTGTTCTTCCTTTCTCTTCTTTTGATGTTCTTCTCCTCTTTTGTAAACCATTAGCTCAGGTTTCTATTATAATCTTATGTTAAATATGGTATTTGGGTAATAAAGGTGGGTGTTGATGATGAGGTTGCATGACCTTATGTGTTTTGAATCCAAATTTTTTTTGGAAATCGTTTGGGGACGGTTGCTGCGTTTGATTGGCTGCAAATGTTGCAACAAAGCTTCGAACAGCTTGCATGGAGAAAAATCCAAAATTGCAATTTGGCCCACCGACTTTTAAACAATTGCGTTAAGGCCCAAAATTTTGGAAAAAATGAATCAAAATTTTCCTTTTCAAACCTTGATCCTCTTTTCATATTTTATGTATGTTTTGAGAAAATTATTTTTGGGTTTTAGAGTGTGATTAAGGTCTAAATAATTTTGTTGAATTTGTTTTCCTAA